TTGCCCCCCCCCCCCCCCCCCCACTTCTTCTCCTTTTCCCTCATAACATGCCATAATTTTTTCCAGTGATTCATGTAGAGTTGAATAGCTAAATGGTCCTTCTAGCATTGCTTTCAAATTGGATAAATGCTCGGATTCTATGGTCAAGATTCTTTCGCTGGTTTTCCTTTTGGTTCAATAAAGTACTTGTTTTAAGTCATTTACAACAAATTTTCTGTTGCTTATTCTGATGCCTAGTTCAATAAAATTGCTTTCTGACTAAGATAGGTCAAAGATTGCTCTTCTTCTGGTTGTGTTTTCATGTTTTTTTTTTTTGGAAAAAGAGGAGAGAGGGAAGGGGGGGGGGGNTAGGTCAAAGATTGCTCTTCTTCTGGTTGTGTTTTCATGTTTTTTTTTTTTGGAAAAAGAGGAGAGAGGGAGGGGGGGGGGTGCTGTGTCAAGATGATCTCTTCACAGTTCTTACCTTAGAATCAACATTGAACCATGATGCAAGCCATAGGAAAAGAAATTAGATATATACTTTGCCTTTTGACTTGACTCATATGCTTTATGAGGACTGAAGATTCAACTGTTTCTTGTGTATTCCTCTACTTTATTTTGTGATATGAATGTATGGTTGATTATAAAATTACGTCCTTATACTTTGGCCTGGCAACACGTAACCCCCTCCAACTTTCATTTGTGAGACTAAACCCCCTGTATGTGTGGGCAAGGTCAGAATCTTTAGGGGATTAAAGGTTCTGACCCTCCTTTGTATGCGTGGGCAAGATGTGAATCGTTACAGAATTAACATTTCTTGCGGAATATCTTAAATACCCACCCTTCTTTTCTTTTTTTATTTTAGTATCGCAAATTAAAGCTGGAGGAGGTTAAATGTAAAGCCAAAGTACAAGGAGGAAATTGTATTTAACCCTAAATATCTGTTCACCTTGGCAAATATTGTAACCAAGCTTCCCTTTTGGGTTTCAGATTGTTGGCCACTCACTTGGTGGTGGTACCGCTGCACTATTAACATATATTCTTCGAGAACAGAAAGAGTTGTCCTCAAGCACTTGTGTTACATTTGCACCAGGTATGTACTCATCAAGCGGTCATATTTTTCTTGGAATGCATGGGTTTAAACATTTATTGAATTTGGGTTTCTTAAGAACAAGTTTCCATTGGACTAGTCAATGGTTGATGCAACCGGCTCTTGCATTGCAAAGAAAGGAAGGCAAAGACGAGAGAAAAAGAAATGCGTCAAGAGTGTTGGTCTTTCCTTTTATCAGTATCACTACCTTTTTTTTTGTGCTTAAATGCTCTTTTCCCTCTTTTTGTAATTCTTTTTGGTATTGTTTAACATGATATCGAAGTTCATGAAGTTCTAATTTGTACCTTTGGTCAAGTTTGATGTTCTCCCAAAAATGTTGGAACAAAACTTTGTTAAGTTTGATGTTTCTTCCTTGCATATTAATTGTAATCGTAAACGTAATTGCCACTCTGCAGCTGCCTGTATGACGTTAGAATTGGCGGAATCAGGAAAGCACTTTATCACTACAATAATCAATGGTTCTGATTTGGTGCCTACATTTTCAACTGCTTCTGTGGATGATCTTCGTTTAGAGGTGTGGTGATCTCTAGATTAATGAAATTGTTTTGTGGTATATTATTTTTTCATGCGCATGACCGTTGCCCAAATCTGCGTTGAACTATCAAACACCTTATTTAGAATGTTGATAATTAGGTCACAGCATCATCCTGGTTGAATGATCTGCGAGATCAAGTGGAGGGCACAAGGGTTTTGAATGTCATTTATCGATCTGCAAGTGCTTTGGGGTCTCGTCTACCATCCATAGCTCGTGCCAAAGAAAAGGTTGCTGGTGCAGGTGCACTTCTGCGGCCGGTCTCAAGCAGTACTCAGGCAAGTTGTTGCCAATTTTGTTGGGGTGTAGTTTTGACANAAGTGCTTTGGGGTCTCGTCTACCATCCATAGCTTGTGCCAAAGAAAAGGTTGCTGGTGCAGGTGCACTTCTGCGGCCTGTCTCAAGCAGTACTCAGGCAAGTTGTTGCCAATTTTGTTGGGGTGTAGTTTTGACACAGAACTGATTCTTTCACACTTTCCCCATATAATAGTCCATAATCAAGTTTAGGCAAGAAGTTCAATTTCATGGTTTTGACATTAGGATATGACGTCTGTTTCTTGGCTAAACTCAGTAATAAAGAGGATTTTCGATCCATTCATCCAAACTGCTTTTTTCACCGTTCTCTTTTGGGCTCCTTGGATGTTCAATAATAATTTTGCAATAATAGATTGAAAAAATTCAGTTCATATAAGTCAAAAGGTCATTACCCAACTTGTTCCAAAGAATAACATCCTATGGGCACCTATATTTTTATCTTGCAATTTTCACTCCCTACTTTTTCATGTCTTGGCGGGTGACTTATGCTTTGTTAATTATAGGTTGTAATGAAGCGTGCTCAAAATGTAGCTCAAGCTGTTGCTAGGACCCGCTCTTCTCTATCGTCTTGGTCATGTATGGGTCCACGCCGCCGTAGTGTGGGTCCTTCATTAAATTCTAAAGTAGATGACTACCCGGAGGCTTCTCTTATTGTCGAAGGAATTTCCGAATCTCTTGTGAGTGAAGTGGTAAGCAGAGACCCTGAGGCAACCAAGGTAGAATATTGCTCTTCAAGTGGTGGATCTGGGCATGATGAATCTGATGAAGAGGAAGATCTCATTTGTGTTGATAGAGTCCGTCCTACATCCAACATTGAGGACATTACTGAAGGTGAGTTGTGGTATGAACTGCAGAAGGAGCTGCAGAGACACGAGGATGACGCTGACGTGCACTCCCAGGAAGAAGAAGCAGCTGCAGCCGAAGAAATTGCAGAAGAGGAGAAGTTGCTGGCTGATGCAGTGGAAAGCAAAACACCTATCTCTTCATCTGAAGTTTCAGATACTCACCACTTCTACCCCCCTGGTAGAATAATGCATATGGTTTCCCTACCATCATCTGATTCAACTGAACCAGGTCACGGTGTCACCACTGAACATATTGGTATCTTTGAGACACCTAGAGAACTGTACAGTAAGCTCCGCCTATCAAAAACAATGATTAATGATCACTACATGCCCATGTATAAAAAGATGATGGAACTATTGATCAGGGACCTCAAAAACGATGAAGATAGTAACTGTATATTGTGAAAACAAAATAACAGGGTAGCAGTATAAAGTGTATATTACCTTAGGCTTGTTGGGGGCAATACAACTATATATTTTTGTTGTCATAGATGAATCTGGGGTTGAGTGGTCGCTCTGTGTTTGTATTTGGTTTTGAAAAATAGTAGGTTGATTTATAGTCGGTATGCCATTTTTATCTCCACTATGCTTAAATTGTTTTTAATGCTTCAAATATTAATTGTTCCTGAGTTGTGTGCTGCAATCGGGAGACCAAATGCCTACACTTCAGGAGCTTCAGGTTTCTGATGTTATGGGTATGCCATCCAGAAATTCCAAATCTCTATGCTTCTTATTAAGAAATGTTAGGATTATTGAACAAAGACCGAAGAGACGGTTTGAAACTCGATATTGCCTTTTTTTTCCCACCTGCAAAGTTTCCCCTCTTCTTCCCGATTCATCACTTCAAGACTCGTTCTGAACGCCACGTATCATCTGCTTTCTATTTGTTTCTTGGGTTTGGCTATCGCCAATACAGAAAACTATACACTTAAGAACTGTAACGTTATTGCAAAATTTACTAATTCAAGAGATAGCGTTCTAAAGCCTACGAATTCTGAATTAGGATAGTCACATAATGGTTGGAGGAGGGGAGGTTATGATGTCAGCATATAAGATTGCAATATGAGAGCAAAACTGTCAACCATGCACCTCTCTCAAACCCCACCATAGTCGGGAAGCCTCGTGCATTGAGCATGACTATCCACACAATTTTTGCTTTTGTCCAAAGGCTAGTCAATTGATGAACTAGATTAGGTTTTTTTAGGTCTCTGGTAGTTGCTGCGTAGTCCCTTTCCTCCTAATGTTTTTGCTTCATGTGATGTGCATTTTACTACTTTTTGGACACAATGTGGAGCATTGCCATGCTTTTGTATTGTTCCCATTGTCCTCGTATAAAAATAATCGGATGTGGTTACAGCACATAGGTTCTATGTTTGGAAAACACAGCACCATCATCATCTACTTTCCATAATTCAAGAATGACAATGAAATAAGAGAACGTGAGAAGATCAGAAATTGTATGACATAGAAACCAATGAGAATCTCCAATGTTCTTCCCAAAAATAAAAATTGCCCTAGAAGCTTGAAAACTCACACTTTCCTAGTTAGCATAACAGTATCCTGACCCCTAAGCCAACAAGATTAATTACATCATTCCCATATTCAAATAAGGTAAAGAATTACAAATAAAAAATTTTGCGGCTGTAGATAGTGTGTGAAATCGTTAAAGTCAACCACCATATCGGCTCTTTAACATTTCTGGAGGTTCCTCTTCCATTATGCCCAAACCNGCATGTGATGTGCATTTTACTACTTTTTGGACACAATGTGGAGCATTGCCATGCTTTTGTATTGTTCCCATTGTCCTCATATAAAAATAATCGGATGTGGTTACAGCACATAGGTTCTATGTTTGGAAAACACAGCACCATCATCATCTACTTTCCATAATTCAAGAATGACAATGAAATAAGAGAACGTGAGAAGATCAGAAATTGTATGACATAGAAACCAATGAGAATCTCCAATGTTCTTCCCAAAAATAAAAATTGCCCTAGAAGCTTGAAAACTCACACTTTCCTAGTTAGCATAACAGTATCCTGACCCCTAAGCCAACAAGATTAATTACATCATTCCCATATTCAAATAAGGTAAAGAATTACAAATAAAAAATTTTGCGGCTGTAGATAGTGTGTGAAATCGTTAAAGTCAACCACCATATCGGCTCTTTAACATTTCTGGAGGTTCCTCTTCCATTATGCCCAAACCTTTTGTAGCCAAGTACTTACGAATGGTTGTCTTTCTGTCACCAAGGAAAGTATGATCCAGAAAATTGTCATAGGCTGTGTCGCCAAGGTTCTTTGCTGCCAGTACACTGCAGAGAATTTCATCTTCAGTCATGAGCCGAATAATTGGTATAACAGAAAGAAATCTTCGAGCATATATAATTCAATTGTCTTCTGGTAAAGTCTGGTATGAATAGATGGTTTCATTTAATTTATTACTAGAAAAGCAGTTTTAGAAGGAAGTAAGTCAGATATCCGAAAGCTGTCATTAGGAGTTATTATAAGCATCTTTTTAGGCAAGAATGTCTGAAAGTTCAACCTTTCAGTGTTTTGATTCAAAGGAAGTTTTCAAAACCACTGCCACAAGTAAAAAATATTCCATCTTGAAAAAGTAAAATTCTGAGAATAAGAAAGAGCTATACAAATGTACCCTAGTTGACATTAACTAAGTGTCACTCACCAGTGCCGAAGATAAACACGGCAAGGTAAGATATCATCTCGCCAAATCTTGTGAATGTCAAACTGGCCATACCGCTCATAGTAGATGTCTTGGTTTCCTGCAGAAGAATCCAAAAAAAAAAAAAAAAAAAATTAGCATATACAGATAATTTCCTTACATTACATTTCATCCTACGAAAGTAGAGAATTTCAGTTCAGTTTCCCTGACCAGAGGAAAGATCTCTCGCTTTTGTTTCTCAACAAAAAAAAATTCAATATCAAATCAAACGGCAAATGATTAAATAAATTAAGGACTTTTTTTTTTCTAATCCAATATCGGCAATGTAAGAAGTCTAAAAGTCACAAGTATTCCATATTTAGGTAATTTAGTAAGTCCCATGAAAGATAACAAGCCTACATATAAACTTGACATTCAAAAATTTACATGCAGTTCATGGTTCATATCTGAATCAGTAAACTATCATCTTGGCTTTCATGATTGCAAACCAACATTATACTGAACACTAACCAGGAAGATCTATGAATAANATTCAAAAATTTACATGCAGTTCATGGTTCATATCTGAATCAGTAAACTATCATCTTGGTTTTCATGATTGCAAACCAACATTATACTGAACACTAACCAGGAAGATCTATGAATAAACCTATACTTATCGTTAGATATTGAACTTATAAGTGAAACTCCGGAGAGAAACCATGTAATTACCTTTGCATCTATTTTGAAAGTATTCTTCATCACTATAACGTGTACAAAGCACCTGCATCAATATCCAAATGAACAATCTTTTGTTAAAGTAAATCACAAGAAATCATAGGATATATGTAAAGATTCTAATGGAAAGCAATAAGTTGTGCTATGAGAATAGTCTACTTTCACTCACCGCAGCACTTGTATACAACAGCCCATTTAATGTCTCAGGTATCACCTTTAAAAGACATGAATTAATTTAGATTAGAAGCAAATCATGCATGTGAAAGAAAGGAAAAGAATTCACCATAGGACATATAATAACTGCGACGATTTAGCAACTTACAGCTAAAAAGCGAAACTCATGCTCCCTCTCGACAAGCGCAGGAATCTGACTTTGTGAAGAGAGTATTGAAGTCAGTTTCAACTCATTCCCAATCTCTAAATCTTACTAACCTAAGACTAGAATTTTGACAAATTTAAATACCTCTGATCTCTGAATCTCGAAAACAGTCACTATAAGGGATTCACCTTCACAAGGCTCCACACTTAAGCTCGAAATTTCCTAGAAAATACACACAATTAACACCTCATCAACACATAAAATCCATGCTCCTTCGAAACCTTATGGTTGCCGATAATAGTAGCAAATAACCGAAAATAACATTCTGAACCTTAAATTTCCCCTGATTGGGGAACTAAGGAAAACCTTAGATCTATTAAGGTGCACACGCACACCCATGCACTGAGTCCAGAAAATGGAGCCTTGTACAATTAAAATACACCTTATGTGATTCTTTAATGTAATATTGCTAAATAATTTATAACAATTGCAACTGAACAATGCAACCTAACATTAGAAACTTTCATATTCAGGCCTTCAGAGTATCCTATCTATGTTCACACACTCACACACACCGTGTGTGAGAAAGAGAGAACATAAAATTCCGCTTGACTTAGCCTAAAAAGACTACATGAACCTCGTACAAATTTTCACTTCAATTGAGCTAGTTAATCACAACTATTGAAAACAAAAGCAGTAAACTGCAATAAAAATTCAATCTTTTTTTTTCCCCTTTTGTTTTCTTTCAGTTTCTCAGCAACCAAACACGAATATAACTGAAATATTATACACACACGCACACAATGAATGTATAGATGTAATATAATATACCTTGGTTTCGGGATTGGCGATGCCACGTTCGAAGAAAATCGGAGTAACATGGGCAAAAACACGCCGAAAATCGTTCAATTTCGCGACTCTGAAGTTGATCAAATTGGGGAATGTACTCCTCGCACTCCTCTCTGCTCTCAATTCAAACAACGCAATCACAAATTCGATCAATAACTGTCTTGGTAAGTGCGCATTCGGGGTGACAAAAATGAAATGCAAATTACGACAACAATTGATTGTACGTACCGGAGAGAAGAGAACCAAAGCCACAGACGGATACGAGTCCCTCTGGAGAGACGATGTTATCGAAATCGGAATCGTCTATGAGTTCTGTCGGAAGACTCGGAAATAGTGGTCGGAAGTCGCCGGAGGGCATGGTGGATGGTGGTCGTAGATGTCGTCGGTGAGAGGATTTGGTAGAGAAGCGAAGATGAGAATGAAGGGTTGGAAAAGCGAGTGTGGAGAAATTAAAGCAACACAGTGACGCGTGAGAAGGTCGCGAGTGAGGAGTAGTGGTGGAGGAAGGAGGAGAGAACAAGGAAATAAGAAGACGAGACCCCTTCATGGCCTTCCTTGGACTGTGATGCTGCTACGTCGTTTTTAGTTGACAACGTGTTTTGCCACACATGACACAACCACAGTTACATGTGTATGCACACTAACATGTTTTCTGCTTTTAGCCGTCTCGTGGACTACTTTTTTCAGTCAATCTTTTAATTAAAAACGTGCCATTAATTTTCTTAGGTCCATTGCATGTGAATTGTGTTGAATGATCTTAATTCGTGTTAAAAAATATTTTATTTATTTATTAATTTATATTTAACGAACCGTATTATAACGTTTGTATTATATATAAATCCTATATAATTGATATATAAATAAATTATATTATATATTTTTATAATTGATTTCACTCGTACTCAGTTCGTTTATTAATCGTATCGTATCAAATTCACATATTTATGAATTAATTAATTGGGTTCTTATATTGGAGTAACATTACTCAAATATGTAAGAGAAATTATTACATGTCTTATACCTTGGTTGTAAACTTAAAAGTATAGCTCAAGTGATAATAAAGACGAATTATAAACATAGATGTCTTGAATTCAAATTTTAATAATTTCTTGAAACTAAATCTACTTATGAATACTCTAATCTTGATATGAATGACTTGCCTTTGATTGAATTAGAGAATAAATTAGTTAAAGTTCGTGTAAATTAGCTCAAATACCTCCAATGGTTAAACTATAAAAAAAAAAATCCTTGGTTGGATAAAAAAAATTTAACTTATGTGGGCAAAAATATATCTAAAGACTTTTTTTTGGGTATCATGCCAAAATTAATTTATAATGTAGATTTAATTTTAATTTATTTATAAACTAGTTATTTTTCGTGCTTAAAAGCACGCAGTAATAAAAAAAATTGTCAACAATAAACATATTTATATTTATATCAAAAATTAAATTACAAACATAAAAAAAAGATAAAAAAATTTAATTACGGATTATAGTAGAGGTGAGTGATGATAGTGTTGGTGGGTGGCGATAGTGGTGGTGGGGTGACAATAATGGTGGTGGAAAACGATGATGATTGCGGTGGGTGACTACGATTGAGGTGGTGGTGGCAATCGTGGGTCGTAACTATGATGGTGGTGATGAATTTTGGGTGGCAATGAATGGTAATGGTAGCCATGGGTGACGACAGTTGTGATGGTGGGTGTGGGTGGCTGTAAGCGACGATGATGGTGGTTAGCAGTGGTGGTGGTTGGCTGTGTCGATGGTGATGGTGGGCGACGACAGGTGCTTCTGAACGATAGTGTGATATGTGGTGGTGAATGACAGTGGTAGGGGGGATGGGTGATAGTGGTGGGCAATGCCGGCTGGTAGTGGTAGGTATGGTGGAGGTGGGTTTCAGTGGCTGATGACGATAGAGGGTGATAATAGATGGTGGTGGTGGGTGTTGACGGTGGTAGTAGTGATAATAAATATAAAAATGAGATGACCATGGTGGTAAGTGGTGGCGGTGGACGATGATTGCATCAATTGGTGGTAAGTAATGATGGTAGTGGGGGTAAGGTAGGGTGTGAGGGTGGAGGTGGGGCAGTAGCAATGGTAGGGTAATGCGCGATAATGGTGGTGAGGTGACAACGATGGTGGTAGTGGTTATGGTTGACAGAATGGTGGTAAGACGGTGGGAGTGGTAAGGGTGATGGAGGGATAATGATAGTGGTGGTGATGGTTGTGACAGTAATGTTAGTGGTAGGGTGACGACAGCAGTGGTGGTCGGGGGATGGTAGTGGTGGTCGGGTGATAGGTTTGGTGGTGAGGTGGTGACAGTGATAATGGTAGCGATAGTGGTGGTTGTTATGGCATAGGTGGTGTTGGAGTGAAGACTGTAGTTGTGGTGGTGATAGTGGTGGTTATGGTGATGGTATGATGGGAATGGTGGTGGTACGATGGGAATAGTGGTGGCACGGTGGGAATAACTGTGGTAATGGTGGTAATGGAGCGGTTTCAAACACTACTTTTTTTTTTTTTAAAAGTATTTATGTTCTAGAATCACTTTTAAAAATTTACTCCAAACACACCATTACAAACATATTTTTCCTATTAAATTTGATGTATTAATATTAACCGTCGGATTAACTTTAAAGTAAAATTTAAAGAGATCTCAATCTCAAAAAAATAAAATTATTTTATTTATCTTTTAAAATTTGAATTATATTATATTTTATTATATAAATTTATAAATACTATAAAATATTTAAAAATTTGTACATCCCATAATTTTATAAGATACAAAATAGAATATAATATTAAAATTTTATTTTTTAATATCATAAGCGGACCCATCAATTAATTAGCACGCGAGAAAAAACAATGCGTGATATTGATGACTATTGCTTGGACTTTGGGCCGTCCAACGACTTTAAACATGCAGCCTCACACCTTTGGTCAATTATTCTAAAAGAACATGGATTTTTTTAGGTAATTTATTATTTTTACGAGTATTATTTTATCAAAAATACTCATAATCACTCATAGATTTCTCTTATTTAATTATAATTTCTCTCTTATAAGTTGTAATATAATATTTAAAAGCTATAACTTTCTTAATCGATCACATCCTATATAAGTTGTAACTTATATCTCAAAAAATTATAATTTAACCTTAAAAAATGATAATTTTTGATACGATATCATCAATAATACTGTAAACTTATTTTAAAATTGTAGATACATTTTTGGTCTTGATTAAATAAAATACTAAAATAAAATAAAATAATTGATAGTGAACAAAAATATTTGTACAAAAATCAATCGAGAGTGAACTGTAGTGGGCTCAACACAAGTAAACACAAAAATTAGATGGTTCGATCTGGATGACCTAGTTCAATAGGATTGACCACGATGGTCAAACATTCTTATTACTCAAGAGGTGTGTGTACTGAGATGTCTGTGATTTCCCCCATGTGGAGGTAGAGTTTATAATTTATAAATGAGTATAGTCTTCATGGTGTCCCAAAGTTGGCTTTGATGGGAGCACTATTGCGAAGAACCTTGATTAAGGTGTCACCTTTGTGATAGGTGTGGATGGTTCTTTGGCGTAATAGACGAAATGGTTGAGATTTGTGATGTATACCCTAATTTTTTTTTTTCTAAAATAAAGATCTCACATGCACCACTTGTAGACTAAATTTTCTAAGAAGATAGACTTGGTCTTTGTTAGTCATTATTTCTGAAAGGAGCTTGAGCTACAATTCTAAGCCTGGTCTACACAGGCTCGTCAATAATAACCAACTGTGATCATTAGTTAGCCAACCATTATGAGAACCGAGTAATAATAGTAAACAAAATAAAAAAATAGATGATCATTACGTCATGCATGATGTGCTGAATCAGGGCCTAGGCGAGAATACGAAGGTGGACATTATTAATAGATAATAATTATTAAAATAAATTTATTTAAAAATTATTTTTTTAGTTTTTTGAGATGCAAAAATATTGATTAAATTTTTATATTCAAGTTTTGTTAATATATATTTTTTAATAGATAATATAGTTAATCTATTTAATCTTTCTTGTGACATAGTTGATCAAAAATAAGATTTTATTAATTTAAATTTTGAAAAAAAAATTTCGGCCGAAGCAACTGTTACTGGCCCAAATCCAAAATATTCTTGGGTCAACCCCCAGACGATCAGGTCCGCCGAAGCAATTGTTACTGGCCCAAATCCAAAATCATCTTGGGTCAATCCAGACGATCAGGTCATATATACGGGTCACTCATGGGCTTACCTTTTTTTCCATGTTTGATTGGATGTATTCAGGTCCATTATTAAATTGGTAGATTTTGAAAGCCACCAAGGAGGGCCCACTTGGCGGCTCTTGGAAACCATGATATGATGAGGGGAATCGCTTCGATATCTTTCGTATAATCGTTCAATCGAAAATTATAATATTTAAATATTAAGTTGTAAATTTTTAAAAAAAATTTAAGTTACAACTTAAATAAAAATTTTAAAAGTAATTCTATGTTAACCAAATTTTAGAACTAAATTAAGAGTCCAAATGACATGACATTATATTATTTGGAGTTTATATTAGGGCCCACCAAATAAAGAAATCCAAATTAACTGTTATGTGATTGTGGCTCTTAATTTGGTTAGCGTAACATTATTGAAATTTTAAATGTCAAGTTATAAGTGGTTAAAGTTATTATGATTACGTCTTACAACAGATTGGGTTTGGAGCAGATTTTGACTGATATGAATTTGAATCCAGTTTTTAAAAAATTGATTTGAATCGGATCCAATAATTCAATGATTTTTTTTTTATTTTTTGTGATTCATATCTGAATTTGTTAACAATTTGGAATTCGATTCTAAAATTTATTTCAACCCAAATAACTAAACTAGATAAATTTTAATAAATTATAGCTAAATTTCAATTATATTTTTTTAAATAATCACTTAATATCTTTAATATTTATATAGAAATATATAAATAATTCGGATTGAATTATAATCAGATCAAATATAGGTATATCCAAATTCAAATCTGTGAAAATATAAGATATGGTATTCAAATTTGGATTCAAATTATCGATAAAAAATATTAATCTATATCCGATTAATCGAATCCGGATGAATCCGATCCATGAACAAGCCAATATTTTATGATCAAATATAATATTGTAATTGATCATGAAATATTTTTATCTACCACAAATAATTATAACATGTCATTTGTATTGTGCAACTTGACTCGCAATAATAATATTTTTTAGTATAATATTGAATGAAACTTGTTTTTACCATAGTCATTTCCGAATCAATGTCATTAGGGGTTCAAATCAATGGGAAATAGCCACCATGATTTTTCTATTAACATGTTCATGAATCTTCTTTCATCTCAGGATTTTTTCTTATGTGCTACAAAAATTGAGGAATTCAATTATATACAACGAGTTTCACTTAAGTCAACAATAACTAATCTGTTAGANCGTAACATTATTGAAATTTTAAATGTCAAGTTATAAGTGGTTAAAGTTATTATGATTACGTCTTACAACAGATTGGGTTTGGAGCAGATTTTGACTGATATGAATT